GATAGATAGATAGATAGATAGATAGATAGATAGATAGATAGATAGACAGACAGACAGACACCTAGTATCTTTATTTGCAGGACAGGCTAATCTCTATAATAGCGACTAATAGCGATTAATCTCAGTCAATAGGTAACCAGGGGAAGTAATGTTATAGGAACCCATCCACTGGATGACACACAGCCCTCAATCTGCCAACTGATGGCTTTGTCCAGCACAGCTTTTCTCAGGTTGGTGTCACTAAACCGCCAAAAGCTGTTAAACAATAAGCGGGAGAATCAGTCCTTGCAGCTCAGCTTAGCCCATTTCAGGGGTGGGTTCCGGCAGTCACTACTGTCAGTTTGCTCCTGGGCATGCCAGGTGCGCAGGTGTGATGTGCGCATGTGCAATACAATAAAAATTGTTTTGCGCATACGCCGAAGCAAAAAACAAGACAGTGCTGCCTGGAGAAGCGGTTCGGGGGCGTGGCAGGGCTGGGTCGCTGCCGGTTCCAGCGACCCAGGCCGCCAAACTACTACTGGTTCAGTCGAACCGGTCCAAACCGCTAAGAACCCACCACTGGTCCATTTGTAATAGGAGCTTACCTAGTTTACACACCTCGCAGGCAGCCTCTTATGACGAAATCTGGCGTCTTCTGGTCATTCTGACAAAGTTCACATCTGGAAAAGGGGCACAGAAAAACACGCAGATTAGAAGAATGTTTCTCAGCCTCAGCCGCTGTAAGGTGAGGAGACTTCAACTCCCAGCATTCCTCAGTCAGCATAGGAGACGGTGGATTAGAGAGAGAGAAAACCTTGCACACACCCGCCTAATAAGGAAAAGATTCAAACGCACAAGTATGGGCACCTATGGGGAAACCGGCAGTTCAAACAGGTGACCCACATTGCATTATGGGTGTGGCACGTCCGCGCACGCCCCCCCCTGCACTCCCGCTTTTGGCACACGAGCCAAAAAAGGTTCACCATCGCTGCCTTAGGCCCTGCAAAATACCTCCATCATCACACTTTAAACCTCCAGCACACATACAGTTGAGATTTCAACACATAGCATATTTGTGTGTTAGGAAGTAGCAATCAGAGATAAAAACAAGCATATTGTGCCTTAATAATAAATAACATAAAGGCCCATTACAGGTAATCTTCAACTTACAACCATTCATTTAACGAACAACAGCACTGGGAAAAAAAGGAACTTATGTCCCTCCTTGAACTTACAACTGTTGCGGCACTCCCACAATCACAAGATCAAAATTCGAACACTTGGCAACCAGCATGTGTCTACGAAGGTTGCATCATCCATGATGGATGCTCCATCACCACTGGAGATCTTCCCAGCCAGCTTCCAAACAGCAAAGTCAATGGGAGAAGTGGATTCGCTTAATGACAGCACAATTCAGTTAACAACCGCATCGATTTACTTAACAATCGTGGCCAAAAAAAAAGTCACAAAATCAGACTCACAACCTCCTTGTTTAACAATGGATATTGTTGTCCCAGTTGCATTGACAAAGTTGAATTCTACCCCTCTTGGAAAAAAGGCACATATGAGCTATTGAAAGGAAAACGTCTGCAAGCATTGATTTCAACTTAGTTTTTTGCTTCCATTAAATGCAAATTATTAAAAAAAAAAAACAGGCCATAACAGAACACTTCTGAAACCTGTTTAGGAATGTTGATCCCTTCTGCTATGTGTGTGTGGGGGGGGGGGGGGGCAGACCATTGCGATGTCCTCTCCCTGCCATTAGAAAGCAGGTGGCTCATTTTGTAATTTTTTTAATTACCGTCCGTCCGTGGAGAGTAAGCTGCTTAGAGTCGCATGCAACAAGGGTAAATTATTGGAAAAATTGAAATTCTGAGCCGTTTCAAAACTGATTTGCCAATCCTTACTATTTACATTCCTTTGAGGTGCGTTTTAGTAAATTATTGGAAAAAATTAATTTCTGAGCCATTTCAAAACTGATTTGCCCATCATTATTTACACTCCTTTGAGGTGCGTTTTAGTAAATTGTTGGGGGGGAAAAATTTCCGAGTCGTTTCAAAACTGACTTGCTCATCCTTACTATTTACACCACTTTGAGGTGCGTTTTAGTAAATTATTGGAAAAATTAAAATTCTAAGAGCCGTTTCAAAACTGACTTGCCGATCCTTGCGATTTACATTCCGTTGAGGTCCGTTTTAGTAAATTATTGGAAAAAATTAATTTCTAAGAGCCGTTTCAAAACTGACTTGCCGATCCTTGCGATTTACATTC